CCCCCCCCCCCTAGACTCCGCGAACGAGAACGCAACCACGAACACAGCGTGTGCCGTTCTTCCGAAGACGCCAAGCATACTTCGTACATACCACCATGTTACCGCAGTGCAACATTGTAACGATTCGTGCATTTCCAGAAATGCATTTTTTAATAGGTATGGCGCGACTTGTGCCGTATACCGAGAAACGTTGGCGCGTAAAAAATAGATATAAACATAGGTGAATATGCGTGGCGGAGAGGAAGTGCAAAGGAAAGAAGCTCGGTAAAAGAAAGAGAGAAACGGAGGGAGAAGGAAAGAAGAAAAGAAAGAAAGAGAGAGAAGGGAAAAGGCTAGGCAGGCGAGTGTTGAGGAACAGACACACCGGTTAAAAGCAGTCGTGGTGAGCGGAGTCGAGCCGGGAGAGCCGGGAGAGCTGGGAGAGCCACGCAACGCCAGTCAACTCTCAACTCGACGACTCAAGTGGTAGGGAACATTCCTTCGCTACGGCCACTATTTCATCGTTTCGTATGACGCGATATTATAAGACCCCCGCCTGCGTGTTGGCTACTACACGGTGGTCCAAAAGCAAGCATCCACCTGCGACGACCCGAGTCCTCGACTCTACGATAGCCTCTGTGGGGAGGCAAGCATTTTCCCGTGCTGGTCTCCCCGTCTCCACTATTCACCGACGCTCTTCGCCTCTCTCCGATATTTTTCTCCCGTTTAAATCTGAATTATCGCCCGAGAAACGGTACACCGGAGCTCCGACACTTTTTGGGACGAGCGCGATACAAAGTCGAACAGGACCCGCGAAGAGATCGAGTTTAACTCGTCCGGTCTCGACTCTTTGCTTTTTTTCCTCCCACTTTTTTTCTTTTCTTTCTTCTTCTTTTTTTTTTTTAGTTTTCTTTTTTCTTCTCGATCGTAGATCTGTGGCTGGGGCAAAAAGCGGCGACAAAAAAAGGCAAGCTCGAATTCTTGTGTGATCTTTTCGTTGTCGTCTTTCGTCGATGTACAGTTTTCACGCTCTCCTTAGGGACACGCGAAGAATGAAATTAGAAGGAAGGTTAAGAAGGTTCTTCTGGAACGACGGTTGTTGATTAGCTGTAGCTATTTATTCCAAATTTAAATCTAAAAATAAAATAAAAAGAAAATAATATAGTGCAATTGTATTAAAATGTATTTTTCTAATAATGTATCGATGAAATGGTAAAAGCAGTATAATGCACAAAGTGAAATGGAACATCTGTCACGTCGTGTAATTTGAAAGTTATGTTAGTCGAGATACGTATCCACATTTTGAAAGTTTCATTTATTGCTTCATTATTACATTTCAAATTAATTCTATATTTATAATATAATTATTATTCCTTGGACTTTAAATTGGGACAAGTAGTTAGAACTAACTAATGTTCGCTCTTCGAGTAAATGAAATGCTGATTACAGAGAGTTCACGTCGCGGAGAAAAATATTTCTCGCAACGTTACACACGATCGCGAGAACAGGACGAGCATCGGGATTAATAATTTCTTAACACGGCGCGCTTGTAGCACCGGGAATACCAAGAAGCCATCCGTAATGTTGAGATAAAAAATAATTTATGACACATTGGAGACGAGGAGATGGCGAATATTCAATTGGGATTTATGATGTAATTGACTAAACGGCAGATGTATAATAGCAATGGCGCGACTAATACGAAGTAAATTCGATGAAACCGTGGAGCTCATTATAATTGACGTTGCTATACTTTGTACATATATCGTTTTGATTCTCTCGACCGAAGTTACATCAGTTTTCACGATGCTCTCGGCACGGAAATCGCGTTATCAGGTTCGAATGACTGAGAAATGAGTAAATGTCGAAGACGAATCCCTCTGCCGAGTTCCTTGAAAAACGACGATTCTCACGATCACACGTGGAATGTCCTTTAGGCTGACGTCAGGTATTAAGTTTCGTGTCTCGGCTTCCTGTAGAAATATCCGAGCGAGTGGAAATTCCAAGGCGACAAGACGAGGAATTGATAAATTGAACGAAAGGTTACGATTTTATCGGATAACGTGTCTTGTACATACACGTATCAAAATGAGATGAACAAACGTTCGTTTATGAAATTGTCATTTCACACATCCGACAAAAGCAAGACAACTCGAGAAACTACGTCTCAGTTTCTCAGAATTAAGCATTATTTTCTTGATCAAAATAGTACACCTTTCACTCATAACAAGACGCATTTATGGAATAGATATAATATAATATCACATGAATCTTTTTCTGTTTTCTGTCAAATTATAAAACAGAGCAGTATTTTATTGTGGAATAAAAAAAAAAAAGGGAAATATAGAAAGTCCATTTTTTTTTTTTTTTTTTGAATTCTAATACGATGATACGATGATCTAGAAGACGCACTTATGTTAAATTCCTTTAATAAAGAAAAAAATTTCCAGCATTACACATCTTGCGTAGTCGAAAGCAAGTCAGAGATTCACTTATAAACTTATAAACGACTGAACATTGATATAAAACGGATATCGATACGTCGTCCAGCGAGCACACACGATCACAAAGGAAATCGGTTGTACGTTCGGTGGCATCCGTACGAGTCGGAGCGAACAGAGTGGAGCAAATTGGAGTTCTGACAGGTTGCAGTGGGGTGTCCCACTATCCAACGGCGCGGAGAAAACGGATAGAGGCACCCCGGGATCCCAGACACCTATAATCGTACGGGCATAAAGTTGCCCGCTTGGAAACCTACGGCTCGGTCTACGGGGCCGCGTA